AAACTTGGAACGCGATCATGGACGAGTATTATTATCCGCGGAATGCCGCGTTTGAGAAAAACCGCTGAATAGGATGCGCACGACCGCCCGAAAATAGAGTACGAGTACGTCGAACTTGTGTATGAAAGAGAGAGAAAGAGAAAGAGAGAGAGAGAAAAGAGCGCTCCCGCGCAAATACACATAAAGGCGTGTGCACAATGCCGCGGGATCGCGCGCCGGCCTCCTCTTCATCGGTCGACCGCACACTCGATACACGTAACTCCACCTCGCCCGTCCCCGTGCGCGCGATGTTACTGTGGTCAGTGCTCACGTAACACGACGAGCACTGATACCGTTATCGGCCTCCTCGTCGAGATATTTCGCGAACCGGCCGGGTCTCCGGATTTCGTTTCCCGTATTACGCAATTTTCCGATAACGCGCGAGCAAAAAAAAAAGCAAACGAAAATTTACGTCGCGCGACGAAATTCATCCGCCGCCGCGCGATTTTCTTTCTCGACAACGGACGAGATCAAACGGAATCGAAGACACTTTCCTCGTGTTCCGTAAAAAAACAAAAAAACAAAAAAAACAAAAAAAATTGTAACGCGAGAGATTTGATTTTCAGTTTGATTCGAGACACCCGATGTATAATTGTATTATAGTCGCGTTACAAGAGAGGCACGCTTTGTCGTTACATAATCCGTGCGTCACGCGGCGCGCGGCCGGCTTGATACGATTCAGAGTGGAGTCTCGCGGAGAGAGGAGAAGTCGGAGGAAAGCAGAAACCGAGACCGAATTATACGAGACGCGCATACGTATGTGCATTTTAGATCACATTTTAAAGAGCAGATACATCATTGCCCAAGTTCCGAAGAAGAGTCGCCGCTGAATCTCACTTTACGACCGTTTCCAAGACGCGTTTTTCATTACAAATGTTTTTTTTTTTCCTATTTGTTTGAATAGTAAAAGAGTCGCACGTCGAAGATTATTAATGGCGTCTGGCGAACATTTATATTCAAATTTTGTTTTTTCGGTTTTATCGAAAACTGAAAACACGCGCAAAAAGTTCATAATAGAGAAATCACCATGTGATCGGCGACACGACGAGAAAAAAAAATAAAAAAAACGCGCGCTCGTTCGCTCTCGTTACGCTCTCGCGATCACGAGGATGTTTACCGAGTCGGCGGACGCGTTTCGATCGCCGCACGTTTCGATGCGTTTGCGATCCACGTGAGATTTGCCGACCGCGTTTGTACGTTACGGAGAATCAGTCTTCTCTTGTGTGACACGTGACAACGAGCGCGCACACATATACACAAAAGCGCTCATCGTTACATAATGAGCGAGACGCATCATCGCCACATCACCGACGCTCCCGGTGTTGGTTCGAAAAATCACCAAGGAAGATTTTCATATATAGAACACATTTGTAATGCATCGCTGTGTTGATCTTTTTTTTTCTGCGGAAAAAAAATGCGGAATTCAAATTCCGAATGATTTCCCGAGCGAACTTATCAACTTGACGATAACGAAATAGCGATATAATAATGTGAGCGAAAAAGACACAAATACAAAGATAAATCAATGTAATAAGATCTTTAACAATTAATTAACACGGCAATCGTAATATTATATTATGTAAAGTTGATGTGTTATGTCGCGCATATATATGTTATATCAAATATTGCGTAAACGCGGCATAAATGTGTGCAATCTCCAATTCTCGATAATCAACAAAACATCGTTACGAGCGAACGCGTTCGCTGTGTGATATAATTAACGTAATAATGAATTCTAGGTCACACGTTCTTGGGGGTCCAGCGGGTAATTGTGAAAGTGGCTTAAGAAATAACGTCGATGCGTGATGCAACTGTTAGCACATAGCGCACAAACGCTCGCGCAATTCGCGCGCGGCGAAGTCTTGTTGCGTTGTGTGCGGTGGCCGTCCCATCTCGTCCCGGGAGGGCCACGTGACCGCAACACGTGCACAGGCCTGTTATGTTAGACCGTTCACCTTCGTTGCATAATGCGAGCGGGGAAAAGGTCACGCCGCGCCGTGAACAACGGAGTCTCTGATATTTGCTAATATGATCGATAAACCGCGCATTGCCGCGGCCGCCAATCGCGATCGTCGCGGAATTCGGTCGCGGCGCGGAGAGAAGCGGAGAATTAACGCGCACGCTTACCGTGACGCAATCTCCCTCCTCGATGTCTCTTTCCGTAAGTTATCATCGTCATTTCGTATTCCGCTCGAAACGGGAATTTTAAAGCGGATCGAAATAAAAGCTCTTCGATTTCGCGTAGAAAAAGGATGGGGGGGGGGAAGAGAGAGAGTTAGAAAGAGAGAAAGAAAAAAAACACAAGACGCGAGATTTAAAATTCTGCGCTCAAGAGTTGTCACGAAAGTCGATATCATTTAAATAAGAAATGCAGCGGTACAAACACAAAGATGTGCTGTTCTCTCCGTCTCTCTCTATCTCTTTCTCTCTCTCTCTCTCTCTTAGTCACACGCTCACTCATTCTCTTTGTACTGCAGTGATCGATGAACGGCCGATGACGCAACGTATAATCCACAATGTCCGAGATACGACGACACGTATGTGCCTAGATATTCGCCGGTATATATGCTGACACGCATACACACAAAGATGAGAGAGAACCGTAACGAGCAGTAGCTCCGCACTTTGCGATCGCAGCGCAACACCTGCACGTCGACGACGACGACGACGACGACGACGACGACAACGTGCATTTCCGCGCGCGTCGCAGATACCGCTAATCTTTCTTTCTCTGTCGCGACCGACATTATTACACACCCTCCTCCGTTGAATATAATATCCAACGAGAGATAACGCGAATCTCCCGTTCGCGGAAACTTTGGCACGCAATTAAGAACGTAGTCGAGTGCCAAGAAATTCTTTCCTCTCTCTGTTTCGATCGCGATTTGTTCCACTCTTATCGCAATTTTCATTATCTCTGCGAAGAGTCTCAATAATCTGCCCATCATATATATATATATATTTTAACGCGCTTGATTGTATAATTATTTATCTATCTATCGATTCAATCGCGTTCGCGGTTCGTCAATTGTTTACGCGATTTTTGCTAATCGACGGTCATCTTTTTGTTTTCCGGCTGATTTGTTTAATATTTTTTTTTTTTTGACTCGAATTTTTCGATTTTCCGTAACAGATCGATCACAAATCAACTTCTGAGAGAGAAACGTTTGCATGTGCGTGCCCTTCGGCCAAGTCCGTGAAGTTTATTGTGCGGATGGCGCTACGAGGTTGAGAGAGTTGAAGTAAATTAGGCCGTGGCCCACTTTGATAGAGAGCCATAGTGTGGCAGTGGCACGCGGTGCAAGGTGGAAGGAGATTGATGACGAGAAAAAGAGGGAGTTCGCGAACTCGATTTAAACGAGAGAGAGAGAGAAAGAGGGGAAGAGTTCCCGTTTCACGTAGATTAATCGATAGATCGCTCCACGTGGCGAAATTGCGAGATTCGTTTCTAAACTACCGTCGCTGTTGCTTTTTCAATTTAATTTGATTAATTAAATACGGTTAGAATTGCTAATCTTCGATTTTAAATTGTAATTAATTTAAATTACGAAGACGCGATAGGCGATAGGAAACTCGATATCGAGAGTGTATCGATCTTTCTCGCTTAACCGCGCGCGCGCACGAACAAAGTCGAAAGGACAAAAATAAAACGCGCGACCTTGATCCTTGATCGCGATGCTTTTCGCAAAATTCATTGCTGAGAAGATCGTAACGCACCGTAAATGCATTTTGTCGCCGTTCGCACATCGCAGAAACCGTTCGGCGCGAATTTTTCTTCCCCTTCTCCTCTCTTCCAATCCGAAAAAGAAATGTTACGTATCATTTTCTCTCTCTCTTTCTCTCTCTCTCTCTCTCTCTCTCTTTCTCTGAGTCAAATCGGTTACACAATGATGCAACGAGCATCGATTTTCGCAAGACGAAACAGGCACGAACACTACGTGTGTTTTATCCCCGTAGCCGATCTCGCGCGTGACGTCATCGGCCGTCACGTATTAATTACATTTCTCGAAACCGCGCGTACCTTTATCTTGCACCCGTGTTATTCGAGAGTCCGTGATTCAGCTGTGAATCGACAACGCTCGTCCCGATAAGATATGCACCGGGGACAATGGATGCACATCGGGGATCATCACGCTCGTGAATATATCGCTGTGACATTGCGTCATCCGCGCGGATTATCGATCGGCGATTTCGAAATCGAGCAAACGTGACGCGTGCATTTTCTTTTTTCTTTTTTTTTTTTTCGCGCATTTCGCAACGCAATACATTAGTAGATTCCTTGGATAGCGACACGTCACTGTGCATTGTGTCGAAAATTTTCAAAATTCTTGGCACCGAGTTACATATATTATTCCGCAAAATCGTCAAACAACGTCTCTCTGAAGATATTTATAAGTTGCCTTTCTAATAAAAATCCTGCGATCAGGAAATCAGAAGTCTAATAATAAAAAAAAAAAACCCAATACAAAGATTGCAAAAAACAAACGTACACTTTATCAAGCGTTCGAAAACATATGCAAATTACGACAAAAAGTCTATTCAAGTTTTTTTTTTTAAGTACTCGAGTGTGATGTTTACGATCTCTGCGATCTGGAGCTTCAACGCGGAGTTTCTCGCGAGAGAGCTGTCAAGCTTAGCTGCACGTCGCTCTCGTGTTTCACCTGCCAGAACCACGTGCTCTTCTATCGCAAATCAAATTCAGGTCGAACGCGACGCGACACAGGGCGGTTAGATATTTCAAAACAATTTTACCGCGTTTTCTCCAAGTCTCGAAGAAGTTTTCCCGTCGGGCAAACAACAATTCTCAACGAGTTAATTAAAACTCCTTGTCGGTCAATGTATTTTTTTCTTTCTCTTTTAAACGTAAACTGACAGTTCTCACGAAGAATTCGCTACGCGAACCCGCGCGTTGACGTCCGAGATAAATCACCGTCAATCCTCTGCGGAAACGGAGTACTCACCAATCTTGAAAGTTTCCGTGGATCCGAAGCGCAAGTAGGAGCAGCAATCCACCTTGCTGATCCACTCGACGAAGGAACGGCGGAACGTGCGAGTTTACTCAAAATTGTAACGCTACGTTCCGTTCATCGAACCTCCCCGCCGCACGACTGTCACGGCGATATAACAGTCGTCCCGGTAACACGAATCTCGGAACTGACTCGACACGAGATGCGCGCGTACAATATATCACCGGCACACTCCGACGAAAGTACTCAGTAGACACTCCGAGAAAAAAAAAAGACTCCTCAACTAGAGGCTCGGCCACTTCGTCAGAAGAAGTGAACTTGAACTCCGTTTGTAATTTCCCGACTCTCTCCCCCGATAGACGTTGTCGTACTGTATGCGTCGATGCACTGCGTGAGACTACCGACGTACGCGCATATACGAACGGTATATATGTTAAAAGCGCGCGCGTGCGCGCGTGTGTGTATGTATATTGTATATGCGAGTTCCTGCGCGCGTCAAAGAACGAGGAGAACCACCACGTCCGCTCACTACGACGCCGACTTGTCGACTGACCGCGCGCCGCGCGATACTCTAACGACGACTGTCGTGCCGCTGTCTTGGCCTCAATATCGTCCGGCTTCGTCGGGCCGAGGAGGAGCGCCGAGAGCGCATGAGCGCACGAACGCGCGTGTGCGCGCCGCTTCACGCACGACGCGTGTGTTGGAGCGGAGATCGCCGCGGGTGGGGGAAGTTTATGTCGGGTTTATACTCGGTTTATGTGGTTATCCCTCCCCACCCATTACCGCCGCGCGCTACCACCAGGACAGAGGATTCAGAAACGAGCTCTGCGTCAGAGAGAACTGTCGTTCCCCCCACCGTGTTCTGTCGTAGTGTTCGTTCGTTCGTTTTCTCCCCACTCGTCTCGCGACTGCAGACGGAATGCACTGCGTCGTCACTCGGAGCGGACGAACGGCGGAACGGTGCGATTAGATTGCGTCGTGCGTGCGTTCGCGACGCAACTGGAGGTTACGCTTCTTCCACGTAAGTGACACCATAGCTCGATGGTGCGCGTACGGCGTAACGGAAGTGACAGTAGAACTTTGGAGCGAGCAGATGCGAATCGATTAGAATGAATGAATTTTGATTTCTAATCTAACATCGTTCTCAAAACGATGCTCGAAACATGCGGTTTGATCAATTCGCACACTCCGCTAAGTTCCGCTGCTTATCTATGTTTCGTTAAAATCGGTTTTACCGAGAACGTAATAATTGAGAACAGAGGCGGATGTCCTAAGAAAATCGGAGCGGACGAAAAATGTCGAACAACTCGAATTAAAAAAAAAAAAAAAAAAAAAAAAAAAAAAAAAAAAAAAAAAAATACAACCGATTATTTTCGATAAACAACTCAGACTGCTATCAATGTTTGTGTTTGTATTTTTTCCCATAGCTCCATTTTCTTTTTTTTGGTTTAGAAAAATTGGATGCCGAATTGAGTAAATTAGACGCCAGATTAAAAAGTTTTATTTTACTTCGAGCGTCAATTATACAGTTTTTAACTATTTATAGTTACAGGCCGATATACAGCCATTATAATTCTTGGTTCTTACGCACGCGTTACGTCGTTATGATAATGTATGCTTCCGCGCACGTTGTTTGTCCCAATCACATAAATAACTTTAACGCGTGATATAACGCATCGTTTATTGAGGAAAGAATAAACAATTTTTTAATTTTTCCTTGAAGCTCGCGCATCACTAATTACACATTTCTTTTACAAATACGCTCAATCTTTGCTGCGAATAAAAAAAATACGCGCAACATTGTGAGATCAATTTTATAACGCTACACACAAAATGTCGAACAGTTTCGCCTCTGAAACACAGGAATCGCGCGGTACGCGGCTGTTTACGATAATCGTAAAATCGCGACATCTGTTCTTTGTCATTCGCGATCACGACACATCGCGTCGTTATCTCTCTACGTTATTTCGAAACTAGCGCAGAAAGAGAGAGAAAGAGAAAGAATAAAGGTTTTTTACGGACAAGGTAAAAATCTTTTCTTTACACAAAACAAAGTTTTAAGAACAATAAGATTATACATATTGCGCGCGTCTCGCGTTTTCCGGAAAGATATACGATTTTCCTCGCGCGAATTTGTTTTCGTTCGCGCGTGGGCGGATCGACGGCTGGTGGCCTCTGTCCGCGATTTCGCGGCCATGCTGAAAAAAAAAAAAAAAAAAAAATTGATTTACGCCCGATTGCCAGGCCGGGGTCGAGCCCGTAACGAGATACGCATCGGAAAGAGCCGGCGAGGGAGAGGGAAAGAGATGCTACTCGGAATCGCGTCGGCTGCAATCCAGCCAAAACAAAGAGCGGCCGCTCTCGGTGGAGCAGACGGGCAGAGGCCCGGCCGGCTGGCAAGGACCCTCCTCCTCCTCCTCCTCCTCCTCCACCTCTTGATTCTACTGCTGCTGCTGCTGCTGCTGCTGCTCTCCTCCTCGCCGTCCTCCATAAACCGAATGCCAGACAACGAGGGCATCAGCCCCCGTGAATCACCGCCGGTCACCTTCACTTTTTATGCAACTTTGTGAACCCGACCTCACCGCGCCGCGTCGAGCACCTCCTCCCTTTCCCTCGTTTCGTTATGAATGTACGTACAGATCAGCAATCAGCTACGTGTTTTCTTTCTTTCTTTCTTTCTTTCTTTCTCTCTTTATCGGTGACACTATCGAACACGCGCAACAGAAATAACAATGTCCGCGGCATTATCACGACGTTTTTTTTTCTAATCGCGCGTCAAAAAGTTATTGCGCGTTATTTACTGTCATCGTCGAAACTTCCGAACTACGTTTTTTGTATATTATCTACAATGTACATAGCTCAGATATATCGTGATACGTGTGACTTTCTTAATTACGCCAGTTTTGGTGGCCAGCGCGCACCTTTTGCGGATCGGGCGTTTGATTCCGTTAAAATTATCGGGAGATTAAATCCGAAAATCGCAATAACGAGCGAATCGTGTACATACAATATGTACACGATTTGCTTAGATCGCGAGCCACATGTTCGTTTGTTCGTTCCGAACAAATTCGGTATTTCAAGGTCGCGCGCGCGTCACCGACGTGCGCCGAGTCGTTTCGCTATCTTCAAGTGCAGTCTCATTCGCGCACGTACGCGCGCGTGCATGCGTGCGCGCGTGGCAGGGATCCACGTGTGTTGTTTGCGCAAACAATCCCTGGCGAATAATCACGATACGGCGACGGAAAATAACGCGACAGATCTATAGCAGGAAAAAAAAAAGAGAGACGTGTACTTACAAGCATTTTGTGACGAAAAACAAAGCTGAACAATTTTTTATATTTTGTAACAATTATTTGCAATTATTTCTGCGTAATTTGCATTGTTCTCTCTCTCTCTCTCTCTCTCTCTCTCTCTATTACTTTGAACAAGTCGTTTATTGTGGAAGTCGTTTCTTTATGCGCGCGCGCAATAACTGAAAGAGAAAGGTAATCGAAATTGGGCTTCGCAAGACTACATACACGCCTACGTACTTGCCTTGTTGTTTAAATTGCATATACTTTATGGGAACGCACTTGCAAGTCGCGAAGTAATTGAACATTACATTTGTACCGGGCGCCCGTTCGAAGTTGTTGCGATGCGCGTTGCAAAACTCTGTCCGACGGACACGTGTGCGCGCGCGTGTCATTGAAAAGTACGGAAAAGAGCAGGCCGGTTTCAAGTATACATAGTCACCTTCCTTGTGCGTGTTGTCTCTTTGCAATCAGGGGCGACTCGCGATTATTTCCTCGGGCAAGGAAACTCGACGTTTTGTAATAGATACACGTCGCGAACACCGCGTGTTATCAAAAAATTTCGCATATCGGACGCGCGCGTGCGTCTTTTAAAAAGTCGACGATAAATTTTTATTTCAAAATAATTCCTTTCTCATTTTCGTTATATTTTTCGTTATATTTTAATTTAAAACATGTATCAAAATTACTTAATTACAACGCGTTAAAATTGCAATTTAACAGAAATTATTGTACTTGGAAGTCGTACTTGGTAGGTGTTTATTCATTTAAGACACATCGAATAATCGCGGCCTCACTTCACGGAAATCGTCAACCACAGTAGTCGGAACCGTCCTCTGCGTATGACTTCCTTCCTAATCGCTTCTCGGTAATTGCGCGTTCGTAACGATGAATTTGCAATTTGATCGATCAGTTCTGACGGCGAAGGAACATATTTAAAAGTTAAATAAAAGTAGCTCAAGTGTTTGCGCGCGCGCTCTCTTTCTCTCTCTTGCATAGAGACGCATTTAAACTGTCAAGAGTGCGAGTCATTAGCAAGCGCCGTGTCATTTCGACATTAATAAGTCTCGCGTCGGCGTGTGTGAAATCGACGGTGTGATTTACGAGCGCGCGAGTATACGCGACAATACCACTTTGCGATAATTAAATCTACTCTCCCTGGTGCGCGCGAAAGACAACGGTGTCCCTTCTATTCTCTCTCTTTCTCTCTCTCTCTCTCTCTCTCTCTCTCTCTCTCGCTTCTTTATGAAGTTACGAGAAAATACCTCGAGCACATTATATGGCGCGAAATATCGCTGCGCCGCCGGCAATTAACGCGATCGTAATGATTCACCGCGTAGCTGCTGCACCCGCAACGCGATGCTATCAACGTGTACACACATATAAAAAAATACATACATTACGTGTATTTAAAAACTGAAAAACAATTAACTTCGGTGTAATAATACCGAGAATATTTTTTCTCAATATATTTTTTCTCAATATGTATTTCAGCATCAAAGATAAGAATAAACCGCGCGATTTTTGCAATAAAATGTTTATTTATTTTTTTCTATATTCGCGGAACTGTTTTTGAAATGCGTCCTTTAAAGGAAAAAAAATCGTCGCGGTCAGTCACCTTCCGTTTTAACACGCAGGGCCGCGACGCGACCTTCAATCTCTCCGTCGATACCGACTCGAGAGAGCCTTTCTTCGACAAGACTTTGAAAATCTTGGTTACTCCGACCGGTTTGCGCCTTATTTATTCACGTAGGTCGGGGATATAGAGCCATTTACTCGCGATCGATCTTTAGTTAAAACGCCACTGGCTGAACTGCATTTTGCGCATCTCGAATAAATGAATCTCATCATCATAATAAATTCACTTTCGTCAGAAAATCCCGCGCTTCGAATATCGTTCCGTGCGAAAACGAATTTACGATCGCAATTAAAATATATTCAAAAATCGATGGAGGAGAAGAGAGTTACGCTGAGTGTCTCAATGTTATCTAAGAGAATTTTTGCTCTCTCTCTCTCTCTCTCTCTCTCTCTCTCTCTCTCTTTCTCTCTGCCGCGCGTAGAATCGCGCAGTTGTATCATTAATATAACGAGAGAGAGTGCGTATATTTTAAATAAGCGCTATTCAACAACACAATCATTTCCCTGGCGCGCGTTCGCGGTCTGCTCTCTCCTCAACTACATCGACGCGGAGACGTCGAGGAGAAAGTGTAACTGTTCAAGTAATAGTGACGAGAGACGCCGCGCGGTGTAATCGAGATTGCGCGTGCGAACACACGCGTCTCGTCGGGCAATCTCGGCCGCGCGATTCCGTCTTTCTTT